GAAGGCCCTTTTGCAAAAGCCAGGCCCGCCTTCACTTAGGGTGGGCACCTCCGCCTTCACTTAGGGCGGGTAAGGCTGCAGACAGGGCCCCATAGGCCTACCGAGGACCCTGATCCTCGCAGGAGCATCCGGGATTCTTGCTAGGGGGGAGCTCTTATCACCTCTCCTAGCGAGGAGACCGGTCTTTCAAAAAAAAAAAAAATCCGCCAATGTATAACTTATAGTTGCACTACGGGCCAAGATACAGTTTCCAATTGCAGTTCGGCCAATGTATACAACCCAGCTTTCTGGCCAGGTGTAGGGTGCCCGAAGTGCAACTCCGAACTTTATCTTGTCCCATAGTGCAATTTTTTATAACTCGTTTTTGATACTCTAGTCACTCTACTGAAGTTACCCCTACTAAGTACTTTGACATAACATAGTGTACTAGTGTACTTACCGGGTGAGATTCTATCCGTAGGGCCCTCACTTTTGTCCCTTTTGTTTTGTGTACTATTACCCCTACTAAGTACTTTGACATAACATAGTGTACTAGTGTACTTACCGGGTGAGATTCTATCCGTAGGGCCCTCACTTTTGTCCCTTTTGTTTTGTGTACTAAGTATTCCTAAGCTTACTTAGTTTGACAGAGCATCATACGTACTTTGACATAACATGGTACTTATGTGGCATTCCACGGATCCCACACGGGCCCGAGCGGGCCCGCCAGTAGGGTTAGGGGTTTTGGTAGGGTTCTAGGGGCCTAGCTAGTACTGGTGTCGCGTCGGCCCATGCTAGGGCCCGTAGAGTAGTAGGCCAGAGTAGGGCTGTTGCCGACCCAGTAGAAAAGTCACTTTTCAGTTTAGGCACCGGTCATTGTTGCTCTTTCCCCAGTCACGTTTCAGTTTAGGCGCAAGGTCTGATTCAGACACTGGCGCAGTCGGCCACTGGTGGAGGCAGCCTCCCAGTTGACCAGCACTATATATAGCTGGGTCGCCCAGGTACAGAAAGGTAGTATTCAGAGGTAGCTCGAGGTAGTATTGAGGCAGTGCCTCCTTACTCTTCAGTAGTCAACGGGCTGGGCACAGGAGGTTGTAGTGGAGAGTAGTCTTCCAGCGCTGGGCGCTGTGCTAGTAGTAGTCGAGCTAGGGCTGCAGCACGCTGCAGCGGGGACCAGGGAGTTGAGGCTGGTGGAGGCCAGGGGACTTACGTGACAACTTACCTGTGATGCCATTGCTCCAGCTTCCTCTTCAGCACGTCCATAGCTGCATTAAGGCGCCACCTTTCCGCAGGTCAGAACCTGGATAAGTTATAGCGCGCGCGCGCGCGCGCGCGAGAGAGAGAGAGAGAGAGAGAGAGAGAGAGAGAGAGAGAGAGAGGATTGCTTCTTCTTCTTCTTCTTCCTTTCTCCCTGTCCTGCTTCTCTTCCTTTCCCTCTCAGAGCTCTTCTTCTTCAGCTGAGACAAGAGAGAGAGAGAGAGAGAGAGAGAGAGCTGACATTGAGACTTGGTGACTTTCGGGCATTGCCTGATTCAGTGACATTACGACTCGACATTGTATGAGAAGCGACATTGAGGATACATTGGAGACTGGGTTCATCGGCCTATGGTGGCTGATCCTCCCTATCTCCTCCTCCCTTCGTCTCTTCTCCCCCATCTTTGTCCGTGCTTGCATTGGGACTCAGTGCACCTTCTATGTTTGCAGCACTCAGTCCACTCTACACCGCAGGACGATGGTTGTAGTCATCATCTGTCATTGTCCATGCTGAGTCAGATCTTGGTATTTCAGTCTTCCGCTGTGCTATTTTCGGTATTGTCTCTGAGAGGTCGGTTTTCAGTTCTGATCGATGCCGATTAGGCATGCGACAACTTACCAGGTGCTTCTATGCTCTTAGTACTTCCAGATTCTAGCAGTAGAAAGAGAGGGTTGGTACAAATACACCAAATGGTCCAAATCAACGTTTTGATTAAATATAAACCGGCGGGTGCTGGTTTGGGATGTCAGATTTCTGCCTTTTTTTTTTTTTTTTTTTTTTTTTTTTTTTTTTTCAAGTCTTTGGGGTTTCTAATGTTTAGTCAATGCCGGTTGGATATTTAAAACAGCGATACTGAAAAAAAAAGGACTCCGTGTTATAACTTATAGCCCAGGGAGTATTTGTGTGCTTTTGTTAGACACACTATCTCCTCTTAACAACATGGAATCAGTGTTAATTTTTATTTTTTTTATTTTTTTTGAATTCCTTATAAAAATTTGGTGGAGAGCTGTGAACATTTCGGTACGCGCGCCCCTCTGCACACTCCCCCGCCGTCGATCCCCTTGATCCACCAACCCTCACCAAAACTTCGACCCAAAAGGAAAAAGAGGGACTATTGCTCATACAATGCAGTCCGGGCATACTCACACTAGCACTTTCCTAACTGTATCTAGCTGCAATTACGGCCATACCTGAATGAATCATGTCCGTAATCACATCCAGAGCTCGCTCGAAAACGCCCCTGTGTGACCATGCCCCTGATTACTTGATTTCATTTCATACTCTTTTTAATGTTCATGTATGTACATTAAAATGTACATCAAATGCGTGTTTATATTTTTTAAACATTTGGTGTACCCTTCTTCTGAATGCAGGTAGAGCCGCCGAAGCAGAATGACACTGGTCGTTTGTTTACACCCGCAGCTCATGACCTGTTCCGCCTTTTCAGTGCACAGCTAACCTCGGTGCAAGAGAATTGTACGGGGGCCATGATATGGCGAGTAGCCGACGCGTTTGTGAAGGTTGGTGGTTGGAGTGTGACGGGGTGTGTGTGTGTCGGGATTCGAACCCTCGTTCTGTTTCTCTTTTCTTAACCATTCTTGTTAACCGGCCCTCAGTTCTGTTTTGTCATGAACTCCTTTTAATGAATGTTGATGTACATTAAAAATGAGAAAATTAAAATGTAGTATGTACATTGTACAGTTGCATGTTTTTTTTCTGAACCATGTGCTGCAACCAGCAATGATCGTTGGCGGATGGAAGCTGTTTCCTTCTTTTTTTTTTGAGTATGTTATTTTGGGTGTATGGCTTATCGTGCTACCAGTCTTGGATGATGGTGACGAGTTCATGCTCGCGCTCAATGATTAATATATTAGTTGCATTACCAGATGGGCGGCCGGCCAGGCGATGTCCCTGGGGGAAAAAAAAAAAAAAAGGAAAGGAAAAAAAAAGTTAAAAAAAACTATGTTGGGCAGAAAAATATACTGAACAAACTTTTTTGTCTCTTTTGCTATGCTACCAGCCGGGCCGCCCGGGTCACCCTATTGTCCCAGACGGCCCGGCCGTGCAAGGACCAGGGAAGGCTCGAGCAAAAAAAAAAAAGAAGAAAAAATCCGGAAAAAAAACTATGTTATGCAGAAGAATAAACTGAACAACTTTTGCCTCAGGGTCACATCGAAAGTCTTTACCAAATTAAAAAAAAAAAATGAAGTACAAAAATATATATATCGTCATATATTTTTTTGTTTTGGCCTGGCCGGGCAAGTGGCCCCGGGCCACTCTGGTAGCCTAGCTCTTTTGAATAAATAATACAGATAAATATAAACGGTCAGGGTCACATTGAAATTGTTTTCCAATTTAGAAATAAATAAATAATATTTTTTACTCCTTTTTTTAATTCATTTTTAGGCTTTTCATGCCATGGAAGTGGTCCCGGGCCACTATGGTAACATCGTTATACTAGTAATCTGGTACATACTATAAATTTATTGGTGGTTTGTTGAAGTGGGTTGTCTGGTTTTTCGTGTAGTTATTTACTTGTTAAGTTATTATTATGTGATGGAGCTATCTTTTTTTTTTTGTGTGTGTGTGTTTTGGAGCTATCTTGTTCTCTGTCTTTGCCGTCTTTTTGCGACCGTGAAGATGAATATTAACAGGATTGACATTGGATGCCACCATTCCCAAGGAGGAAGAGGAGGAAGAAGAGGAGTAGGAAGAGTAGGAGGAGGAGGACGAACATGCCTATTTTGAATGCTCTATGAAGGTGTGTGAGATCGAAGTGTGGAGGCTGCCCACCGCCGTCTAACAGTATTTGAAAGTAGGGAGGGTTAGACCATCAGTACATCCAGCTATCGGCCGCAGGCCCTCTTTGGAGGCCACCCACCGCTGATTCGATTTATCTACGGCGCTGGGCCTCCGAAAATTTTTGTAGGCGACGAGTTTTCTTTTCAGCAAGGCTGGGGCCGTGAACTGGCGGTTTAAAGAATAGTGAAAGTTTGCAGTCCTTTCGCTCTTAATGAAACGGTTTTCAACTTTTAGCAGTAGCGGATGCAGTACCCAGGGTTCGATCCCTAGACCTCGCCCTACCCATGTACAGTATCTGTGTAGACCCCGAGAATTGAACCTGTGACCTGTGTATTCGTAGACAGTTGGTAGGCCTGTCGTAGGTCCAGAGGCAGCAGGGGTTCGATCTGTAGGTCTATAGCGTAGAAGTCTGAGTGAGTTCCGGAAGCTTAGCTGTAGACCTTCTAGAAGGTAGGCAAGTGGGCAAGTGGCAAGGCAAGTGGTGGACTAAACCGCAGTGCAACAGCAGTACAACGTCGGTAGGATAGCGGTGAGTCCACAGTCAGTCAGCGGAAGGTCCAGTCAGTCCCAGTCCGGTCCAGCAAGTACCACGGGGGGACTGTGAGCACCAAGGGCCGATGGCAAAGGGCATACCAACGAGTTACAGAAGTATAAATCAAGAGGCAGCGCCCAGCCATTCATTCATTCCTGCGTTTTGAGAGTGAACTCGTATCTGAAAGCCATGTCTCTGAGTTTTGAGTGGGCGCATGTCGCCAGTATGCTGCGTAGCTGTTTACATGCATGAAAAGTGTGTTTGAGAACGAGTCTGATTGCACTAATACTTTTTTAATATTTTTACAGATATCAGATGCATGATTACACTACATTATACTAAGTTCACAGATTCATTTTGGATCATTATAACTCAGGTTATTATGGTCTGCATTTTTGGGCATTTAGGGATACCAGCTGGCAGTGGCTGATGCCAAATGTGAAAGGTTTCTGAGCGCCTTTTCACCTATCGCTTGACTGTTAGAAAAGGCACCTTTTTTTTTTCTTTTTTTTTCTTTTTTTTTTCCCTCTTCTTTTTTCCCAGCAGCTGACAGCTGATGGCCGATGCGGACTGCAAAAGGTGCCTGCGCTGTCGCTTGCTGTCCAGTTGGCTACCACTGACAGGATGGAGTATGACCAGCCTGGGGGGATTCCCCCCGCCCCCCCAACCCCCTCTTGGGGAGTGAGTGATTCACGGACATGGGTGGGAGGTTAGGGGATAAGGGGTTGTTGAAGTATGCGACACCGATGAAGGCTATGGCTGTAAAAGAAGACGTAGAAGAAGAACAAGACGAGGGAATGGGAGGGCGAGGGGGAGGAGGAGGAGGAGCAGGAGAAGGAGGAGAAGGAGGAGGAACTGGTGAAGAAAGATGTGTGATGGTCAAAAGAAAAGAAGAGGCAAAGGAGGATATGCATGGCGGATTGAGAAACCGATGGCCACCTCCAGTAGAGTGGCACCAAGCAGCAAAAACTTTACAAAGGTGCCGAAGACACCAAGCAAGAAAGCTCCAACACAAATGACAACTGCGCAAGGATGAATTTAATAATGTATCTTCTGTAATTTTTATTTTTATTTTTTTTCAACTTTTCACACAAGATCAGTAATTTATATGATCAGCGTTTCAAACAAGCTGCTCGTGGCTGAACTCTGAATAGCTCTGTTAATGTATGTGTACAGAACAGTTTGTTTTTTTGAATATTTGTTTTTGGTCTTCTCTGTTATCCATTTGATTGTAAAAGTAGCGCCCATCATGATTGCTGGGATGGTCATGAGGTTCATGTTGATTTGTTCCATACTTGCAAGTGGACGCCGTCCGGGCGGCAGACCGCCGGACCGGACCCGCGCAGCGCACGAATGTGCGCCCGACAACCATTTACGCCCCCCCCCCCCCAAAAAAAAAAACGGCCGCGTCCGGTCCGGTCCGGGTCCGTCTGGTCCGGGGGGAGGGTGCCGCACGCGGCAAAGCGGACCGGACCGGACGCTCGTCCGGTCCGTCTGCTTGCAAGTATGATTTGTTCATATGGAGTTTTTTATCACAGTGTTTGCGTGTTTAAACTTTAAATTAATGAGTGTATTTATTACTCACCCAAGATGATTTCTGCGCCGTGTGTGACTTCTAAATCTGTGCGGTACATTTCTTGAAACGGTCGTGACTCAATTGTTTGGTGTTGTACGTTTGTCTTGCTATGTGCTCTCATGTTATTTTCTCCTCTCTCTTTTTTTCCGCTGCGGATTCCTTCTTCTTTCTTCTGTCTTCTGTCTTCCTTCTTCAATCTTCGTTCTTTTTTCTTCTTTCTTCCGTCTTCCGTCTTCTTCTGTGTTTGTGTGTCCAGGTCATGCTTGATTTCCAAGCTGCACAGCGAACTCGATTTGATGAGCCTGTAGCAGATGTAGGTTTCGAGGCCTTGTGTGCAATGGTAAGTAGATGGGGTGAGGGGCGCCGCGGGGTCAAGAGGGAGGGGGGATGGTCTTTTAAATCCTGAAGCCTTCCAATCAGCAAGTGTCGGCACTTGCTGAGCCCCCTCTATAATGACTCTATAATGACCATACAATGACCATACAAATGTTATATCTATAGTCGAACCACCACTACCTCCGAGCAATTGGGGGAAATGGTCTTTTAAATCTTGAAGCCTTCTTTTTCTCTTCCTGGTTTTCTCTGTCAGCCGGTTGCGTCCTCCCCTCTCTAGTGTTTCCCCCCTCTCGTGTTTCTGAATCTTTCGCTTATATTTGTGCGCAAGTCACGGCAAGCGCCTGCTCATTGTTTTTCGAAGTGGGCAATGCGTGGGATCCCGGTGCACCACTCACCCAGTGCCAACATTGACATTCTGAATGTAACGGAACCGCGCAAGCGGTCCGAATGAAATATAATGTGCTGGGACCGGAAAAGGGGGCCCGTTGGGTCGAGGTTGCTGCTTTCTGTTCTCTTGTATGTACGGAGAAGTTCCCAACGGCCTTGCTCGACGACTAACCAAATGTGCAAAATGAGAATGAATCTTCCGCTAGAACATGGGGAGATACACTCCGGCAATTTTTTTGTCTTTTTGTGCATGTGGTGTGAGCAGTGGAGCGAGGCCCCAAGTCATCTATGGATGGGTTGCGTGCTGTCTTTTCTTTTCTTTTGTGCCTCCCATCCATGGTAATATTCCAGATTTTTTTTTTTTTTTTTTTTTTTTTTTTAAGCAGTTCGGAAGCTCCATCTGTATAAAATTTCAAATTTATAAATCATCACAATCATACTGATTCATACAATGATTGAATGATTATTATTATAGTCTAATATTACGATTGTACCAAATTTGGGAAATTAAGATAGTATCCCAAACTCCTAATAATAATAATTTCCATGCTTATATCCTCTTATAAGGCCTTGCACCACAACGCAGTATTCCTCATGTAGCTGGACAGACAGCTGGACTGTGTACACAGATCCTACATTTTGTGTGTGTTGGGATTTGGGATCATTTCAGATTGTCCTTGCAAAATCAAGATAGTATCGCAAATTCCTAATCATAATTTCCATGCTTATATTTTCTCTCATAAGGCCTCCCCTCCGCTACACTATATTCCTCCTGTATTTGCGCAGCCAGCTGGACCATCTACATTCGGAGAATTTCGCACAGATGCTACATTCTGTATTTATCCGGATTTGGAACCATTTCCACTCCAGAGTCCAGATACATTTAGAATGCTGTGCATCGGAGCGAGCCCCATAGACCGGGAGCAAGCTCCCTTTTCCCTTTTCGAGTTTGATTGATGCCTGCTGCGGCAACCGCGCTGTCTGCCTGTCGGATGGCAATATATTAAATATAATGAATATATTTTTCACAATTACTGTGCTGTTTCTTTTTTCTTTTTTTTCTTTCAGGCCAATAATAATGCGAGGTGTCCGGAGCTGGTTATGGAGCTTAGCAATTCTGTAATGGAAGCCCTCCCTGCAAGCTTTAAGGACAAGGTAGGTCCCAAAGGCTCTTCGGTCCATTTCCTTTTGTCATTGTTTGCCCTTTTTCCCCTCAAAGAAAGGACGCCATCCTATCCTGTCGCCTTCACCATGTATATGGTCACGAATTCCTAGTCCGTTCACTGCCGCCACTTTGCATCCCCAATACAGCAGTTGATACTGGGCGTTTTATTTGGGTTGAAGACCGTACTCCCACTGTCTCCACCCCCTCCCAGATCAAACCCGCCAAGCCTGTCCCATCCGTTCCCCCCATCCCTCCGGACCCATCTCTGTCTCCCCATTCCTGTCTGGACTGTTCCAAATTTATTTTCTGACATCTCTTGCGCCATTCTCATTCCACATTTCCTTTCAGACATTTTTTTTCCTTCTCACTTCTCTATTCCTTCTCTAAGTTCCTTAAAGGCCCTTCCCTCATAGGCATTCTTGTCATGCTCTCCTCTTTTTTTTTGTTTTTGTGTTTTTTTTCCCCTCTTTATTTTGTTTTTCTTTTTTTGCTCATGTCGTTCAGTTGTCTCCGGCATTGTCCTGTCTTATCTTGCCCTGTCTTCTTGCAGATCCAATTTGACGAAGCGATCCGTGGGTTCATGGAAATTGAAAGGGTGCGAAATTGTCATGCCACCCCTATGCCCCTCATTTATTTATGTATTGCCATTTTCCTTTGACATCAGCCGACTCCACTCTAGTTACATAGATGTACATAAATGGGATCCCCTTCTTTCTTTGTTTCCTTCCCCCCCTCCCCCCCCCCCCTCTTAGAGGCTAGAGGTGCATTTCTCGATTTATGCATGTCATCCTTGCACAGGGGCCACACTAATCGAGAATGGTGAAACAGTTTTCACCTTTGGCAGTAGCCGATGCAGATCCCAGGGGTCGATCCCTTGACCTCAGCTTACCTGTGTACAGTATCTGCACAACCTGTCTCTTATACACATCTAGATGTGTATAAGAGACAGCCCCTACTAAGTACTTTGACATAACATAGTGTAC